CTAACTTTGAGAACCTGTCTCTTCAAGCTGCTCCATATCAAGGTACTGGCATGGTCTTGGTTGGCAATGGCTCTAAGCTTCCTATATCTCATATTGGTTGTTCTTCCTTCTCTATTTCTCAGCATACTCCTATTCTTCTCAATAATATTCTTTTAGTTGCCAACATCACAAAAAATCTTCTCAGCATTTCTCAGCTTACTAAGGACAATAACATACTCATTGAGTTTCATTCTGATTTTTGTCTTGTGAAGGACAAGATCACCAATCAAGTGCTGTTGGAAGGAGTGCTTAAGGATGGTCTGTACCAGCTAGACTTTTCCAAGCATGCCTCCTTTCTACATCAACTTGCTCATGTTTCTTCATCTTCTGTGGCTTGTACTTTCATTTCTCCGGTTTCTTCTAAAACTCATGCACTAAATATTGATATGGTTAAGACTTGGCATAGAAAGCTTGGTCATCCTTGTGACAATGTTTTTAGACAAGTTATGAATGGTTTACATTTAAGTGTACCTTCTTCTTTGCCCTTTTGTGATGCTTGTAAACTTGGGAAACTTCATCAAATGCATTTTTCTTCTCAACTGTCTAAGTCTACTTTTCGCTTTCAACTTGTGCACTCTGATGTTTGGGGGCCCTCTCATGTTCCCTCTGTTGAAGGTTACAAGTATTATCTTCATTTTATTGATGACTTTACTAGGTACACTTGGATATTTCCTTTAAAATCCAAGTCTGAAGTAGCTTCCATCTTTCAACAGTTTGTTAAATTTGTGAGTAATCAGTTTCATTGCTCCATAAAATGCCTTCAATCTGATTGGGGTGGTGAATATAGACCACTTGTTTCTATCCTTAATTCTCTTGGCATTCAATTTAGGCATCCTTGTCCCCATACTCATCAAAAAAATGGGAGGGCTGAAAGGAAGCACCTCCATATTGTTGAGATGGGACTTTCTCTTTTAGCTCAGGCTCATATGCCTTTAAAATTTTGGTGGAGTGCCTTTTATACTGCTGTTTATACTATCAATAGGCTCCCCACTCCTGTTCTTAACAATTTCTCTCCTTATCAAATGTTGTTTAAATCCTCTCCTGATCTTACCTTTCTTAAACCCTTTTGTTGCACTTGCTATCCATATCTCAGGCCTTATAACTCTCACAAGTTTTAGTTCAGGTCCTCCAAATGTGTCTTTCTTGGCTATAGCATGCATCACAAGGGTTATATCTGCCTTAGTCCAACTGGCAGAACTTATACTGCCATTTCTGTTGCTTTTCATGAAGAAGAATTTCCCTATGTTTCACTCTTCACCTCCTCTCCTTCCACATCAAATAATCATGCATCTTCTTCTGTTGTTTTTCCTCTTTCCTGTCCTCCACCTTCTTCATCTTCTATTTCTTCTCAGGACAGTAGTCATCATACTACTTCTCCTCAAGCTGTTGATCATTCCACTGCTCATTCTACCTCTTCTCCTTCTACTTGTCCTTTGTTTGTCCATTTGTCCATTTCTGCTCCATCTTCCTCATCTTCTTCCTCTCAGTCTGCATCTTCTCCTCCTTCTTCTGCCCATCCTATGGTTACTAGGTCAAAGGCTGGTATTTTCAAGCCTAAAACCTATTCATCCCTTCTAGTTCAATCTCCTTTTTTAGAGCCAGTTACTGCCACTGAGGCCTTGTCTAGACCAGAGTGGTTAGCTGCTATGAAAGCTGAGTTTCAAGCTTTACTTCTCAATAAAACTTGGGTTCTTGTTGATCCTACTCCTGATATGAAGGTCATTTCTAACAAATGGGTTTTCAGAACTAAGTATAAACTTGATGGTTCTGTAGATAAGTTCAAAGCTCGTCTTGTGGCTAGGGGCTTTCAGCAAACAGCTGGTGTGGATTTCTTGGAGACTTTTAGCCCTGTGGTTAAGGCTTGTACCATTAGACTTGTTTTCACTATGGCTGCAACCTACTCTTGGTCTATTCAGCAAATAGATATCAATAATGCATTCTTGAATGGGGAGTTGCATGAAACTGTTTATATGACTCAACCTGTTGGTTTTGAGGATCCTGCTCATCCACATGCAGTCTGCAAACTCACAAAATCTCTCTATGGACTCAAGCAAGCCCCCAGGGCTTGGTTCACTAAGCTCAAAGAGTTTCTGTTGTCTTTACATTTCAAAGAGTGTGTGTCAGATTCTTCTCTTTTGTTCAAAAGGACAAATGGTGAGCTGCTTCTTATCCTAATATATGTGGATGATATACTCATCACAGGTGACAACTCTTCTTCCATCCAGCACCTTATCACCACTCTTGGACAGACATTTGCCTTGAAAACCATGGGAGAGGTCAATCACTTTCTTGGCTTTGAGGCTCTGAAAACTTCAAATGGCTTTGTTTTCAATCAGTCTAAGTATGCCTTGGATTTGTTGGCTAAGACCAATATGGTTAACTGCAAGCCAGTTTCTACACCTATTTGTCCTTCTCATAAACTCTCTCTTAAGGACAGTGATCCTTTTTCTAATCCCACACTGTATAGGAGTGTGGTTAGTGCTCTTCAGTACCTCACTATGTCCAGACCTGATATTTCCTTTGCTGTCAACAAGCTCTCACAGTTTATTCAGGCTCCCACTGAAAATCATTGGCTTACTTGTAAGCATCTGTTGAGGTATATCAAAGGGACTCTCACTGTTGGTCTTCTTTTTCAGCCTGTTAAGAGGTTTGCTTTAGAAGCTTACACTGATGCTGATTGGGCTAGCTGCTTAAGTGATAGAAGATCTACTGGTGGTCATTTCATTTTCCTGGGATCAAATCTTTTGTCTTGGAGTTCTAAGAAACAGCAGGTTGTTTCTAGAAGTAGTGCTGAGTCTGAATATAGAAGTCTTGCCACTGCTGCAGCTGATCTTCTGTGGATGCAATCTTTGCTTCATGAACTTGGTTTGTTCTTTGAATCTCCTTCTGTATTGTGGTGTGACAATGTGAGTGTTGCAGCCCTCGCCTCCAATCTTGTGCAGCATGCTCGCACTAAGCACATAGAGATTGATGTTCATTTTGTAAGGGAGAAAGTAGCTGCCAAAGAAGTTGATGTTCGGTATATTCCAAGTGATCTTCAACTTGCTGATCTGCTTACAAAACCCTTGGTTCCTGGCAGGTTTCATGTGTTGTGCTCCAAGCTGCCAATGCGTGCAAAGGAGTTTGCTATCCCCTAGTTTGGTTTCTCGGGGGTGTATTAGAGTGTTAGTTAGTTGATATTATTAGCTAGTTAGTTAGTAAGCTGTCATTAGTGGTTACATTAGCTTTGAGGAAATGTTAGATGTGAGGGAGTGCACAATAGCTACCATATAGCTTACTGTTGCAATATATACAACTCTCTCTGTACAACTCAAAACAATATACAACATGAGTTTTCTATCTTCATCTTCTATCTCAATAGAAATCATTCAATTTCTATTATGAAAGGCCCTGTAGCCACATCTTCTTGTTCTTGCATCATCTTAACGTACGATTTGTTTCCAGTGAACATAGTTTTTCACTACATTAAAGAGAGATTCGAGCTAAAACTCAATCCATTAATTATGTGTTTAGCTCATGAGCTAAAATTTAATACACTAAATGTGTTTAGTGAAGATTGATTGAGCTAAATATCAATATATGAAATGCATTTAGTAAAAGATATATAGATTTAATCTAAAATCCATAGGAGGTTTTGAATAAAGACAATCGCATATATTAATAAATGACATTTTTTTTTCTATTTTACTATTAATTACACATTGATAATATTTATTTATTACAAAATGAAATTCAATATATGTATATATTAGTACCTAAAAATTAGGTACGTCTATCAATTTTAAATTAATTATATTATTTTATTATGCATTAAATTAATTTGATAAACAAATATTATAAATAAATATTTGTACCTTACACTTAAAAAAAATGTAATTAGTTATTAATCAACCCTATCACCCATTAATTATTTACCGAAAAAAAAAATAATAGAAATAGATAAAGCTAATATAGGGTTTAGCTCTATCATGGGAGTGCATGGGAGCTCGGATATCGTCGAGTTTTGGCTGACGTCGATAGCAAAGCGGTGGTCGAAATGGTAAATGGGGTGACAGAAGTGGAGGGAGTCCACAGTAGTCTTGTCTGGGCCATTAAGGAGTTGAGGAGCAGGGCCTAGAGCGTGGACATTAGGCATGTTTACCGAGAGTCTAACTTCTTGGCGGATTATCTGGCTGCATTAGCGTCGACTAGCCCTGGAGGTCTGCAACGCCTTGAATTCCCACCGGCGGGGTTGAAGCCTTTGCTGGAGCATGACTTGATAGGAGTGGCATACCCACGTAGGATAGCTTACTAGCTTCCTATTCCTTTTTTCGTACCAAAAAAAATATATTAGACTAGCATTAATTGACAAATAGACATTAGCCTATTAATAACTTGGGCTACCCCAAATATGAAATTCTAAATACCATCTCCAAATTGGAATAGCTTCATCATATTACATTATTCCGGCTACAACATATATTTACGTTGCTTCACAGAATTTTAACCGTTAGATCGACACACTTCAGAACTAATCATACGCGAATTTTGACTATTAGATCAACAAACAAACGTATATATATGTATTAATTTAAAGATTAAATTTACTTAACAACGTAATTATATACTAATCTAACGGTTAAAATTTGGCTAGAAGTTTCACAAGACTAGTGAGTGGTGACATTTGCCACATCACATTCTCCATCACAGGGACCAAATAGTCATTTAATCCACAGCATCGAGGCTATTTCTGTCTTTTTGCCTTGATTATATTAAGAACGATGCTTTTCACGTGGAAAAAAAACTGACCTTTCATGCATCAAACAGCGCAATATAGAATTTCATTATCAATCATTTTATAAATTCTTCACCACTATAAAAACAACACATAGCAAAGGCTCTAAAAATATCCAATTTCTTCTTTAATTTCCCATTTTAATTTTAATTCCTACAAAAAAAAAAAATAATAATAATTAGTAGCCATGGAGAATTTAATTTTCATCATTGGTGTAATAGGTAACATATGATCATATGTTATTTTTTTTTAATTAAAAAAGATAATATTTTTGCTGTTTTTATTTTTTTTTTAATTTCATTTTATGTTTATGTAATTTTTTTTTCAGGCAACATAATCTCAGTTCTCATGTTTCTATCTCCGGTGTAAGTAAATATATAATTAAGTAAAAAATATGTGTGAATATAATGTAAAAGGGAAAATTTTGAAATTTTCTTATATATGGTTTAATTTATTGCAGGAAAACATTTTTGAGGATCGTGAAAAACCGATCGACCGAGGAATTCGAGAGCCTACCGTACGTGTGTACGCTGTTGAATTCGAGCTTGTGGACTTACTATGGAATTATAAAGCCTGAGAGCTATCTTGTTGCCACTGTTAATGGCTTCGGAGTGGTGGCTCAGTTGGTGTATATAGCTTTGTTTCTTCTATTTGCTCCTCCAAGACAAAGAGTATGTCATTAATTTGGATTATCTTTCTCTTTGTCATTAATTTGGATTATCTTTTTGTTTTTTTATATATAATATATATTAAGAAAACATAAATTGTTATTCGAAAATGATTAATTAACTAACCATTTTAACAACAATATGTCGATATCTCGTAATTTTTCAATCAAATATTTATCGTGTATGATATATATGCTAGTATGCTACTTTTCTGCCATATCAAATGATGAACATATTAACTCGTGTTCATTATGGACGGTGATCGCTGTTTGTGAAATCGGAATTTCTAGAAAACGTTGTGATTCGTTTGAACAAAATCGAAATATTGTGATTGATTTTTTATTTTTTATTTTTCGAAATTGGAAGGTTTTGATCATTTTGGGTAGTGTTTTGCTGTGATGTGCTGTTAATTGAACCCATGGAAGGACCACCAATAAATGTATGTAAATATTAGACTTAGATGAAATTCGACTTAATTTGAAGAGGAGTATTTGAAATTTTGTGATTTCGGGTTGTTGTGAATCGAAAAATAAAAATAAAATCGGAATAACGTCGTAATCGTGTAATTTTATTTTATTTTTTATATTTTTTTAAAAACAAATTGTGATTGACATTGTGAAATTTGATTGATGATCACTTTAATTTTTATCAAATTTGAATGATTTTTTGATAATTTTTTTCTTGTGGTGTTATTAATTGAACACACAGGTAAGGACAGCAATAATGTTTGCAGTTGTAAATGTGTTATTTTTTGGGGCAGCTTTAGTAGTCACATATTTGCTGTTGAATGAGGACATAAGGATTGATGCAATTGGACTCATGAGTTCAGCTTTCAACATTATTATGTATGCTTCACCTCTTGCAGCCATGGTAATTAATTACTAATTCTTCACAATTTTCTTATTTTATTTTAATTTTTTTTGAATAATAATTGGATTAAAATGTGTGTATATATTGTTATTAAAATAAAAAAAGTAGGATTATCAAGCTAATTAAGGTGATGTTTGGTAAACCAATAAGCTATGTTTTAGCTTATTTGATTAGCTTATAAGCTCCCTGTATTTAAATAAGCCTCGTTTGGTAGGACGAGCTTATTTGATAAGCTTTTTAAGGTAGCTTTTCAAATAAGTTTGTTGAAATTTTTATTTCAGCTAGTTTATCAGCTAATTTTACTAAACACTTTTATCATATAATTTAGTTTTTCAGCTATAAGTCATAAGCTCGAAAATTACTAATAAGCTATAAACTAACTTATTAGCTTATCAACTAGCTTTGACAAACATAGCCTAAATATTGACCCACTTAATTATTTAATTTTACAAAAGTTGACTCCTAAATCCTATAGATAATGATCAAGATAAAATATTTGAACAAGTGCTTAACGTGTTTTTAAAAAAAAATAGGAATTTTACTGAGTTCATATATCTTTTTTTTTTTTTTTAAAAAAAAAAGCATGACCCACATCACAGCTGACTCTTAATTATAAATTTAATTGAGCTGATCAAGGGTGTGTTTGACACGTATAATAAGCTAGCTTATAGCTTATTTGATTAGTTTATAAGTTTTCTGTATCAAATAAGCCCCGTTTGGTAGAACGAGCTTATTTGATAATCTTGTTTAGGTAGCGTTTCAAAATAAGCTAGTTGACTTTTTTATTTCAGCTAGCTTATAAACTAGTTTTACCAAACATTTTTATCATATAAGCTAGCTTTTCAGCTATAAATCATAAGCTATAAGCTATAAGCTAGCTTATAGCTTATCAGCTACCAGCTAGCTTATAAGCTATCAGCTAGGTTTACCAAACACACCTCAAATCAAATCACTGATTTAATAGATTTTGCCAACACAAAACTATTGGACAAAATTAACTACACATTAATCAAGTAATTAAATTAATCAAATAAAGCTAGCATGGATTAGTTGACATTAATTGAGATTAACTAAATTAATTAGCAATTGAAATTAAATTAATACAAAATTGGTAATTTTGTTAATTGTGAGGAATGCAGAAAAGCGTGGTGACGAGCAAGAGCGTGGAATATATGCCTTTCCTTCTCTCCTTTTGCTTTTTCTTGAATGGTGGAGTTTGGTCTTTCTATGCTTTCCTTCAGCGAGACTGGTTTCTTGGGGTAAGTGGGTAAAAACTAATTATTTAAAATTTTTTGGTGCGAGACGGTCTAACCGATAGTTAAATTGACACGTGATATTTCATTTTATAACAAAAAATACGTACTTATATTATGAAATATCATTTTTGTTTATAGTATTTTACAGTATAATATTTCAGTTTGAAAGTATAAGTATATGTTAGAAAAGTATGACAAATTCTGGTGTGAGACGGTCTAACGGTTAGTCAGGTCGATCTGTTATATTTATTTGTAACAAAAATGCATACTTATATTGTGAAATATCATTTTTGTTTATAGTATTTTACAGTATAATATTTCAGTTTGAAAGTATAAGTATCTATTAAAAAAGTATGACAAATTCTGGTGTGAGACGGTCTAACCGTTAGTCAGCTCGATCTGTTATATTTATTTGTAACAAAAAATGCATACTTATATTGTGAAATGTCATTTTTTATTTATAGTATTCTAGAATATAATATTTCAATTTATATATATACATATATTTGTTGAAGAAAGTATGACAATATTGGGATATTTCTCTTTTGATAGAGGTTTGGTTTAATCATTATGATGTTTGAAATTCATAATTAATCATAAAATAGATGTGACCACTTATATAACTTATTGTGTTCATTTCCATCACGTTGTTTGATTAAAATTGGTACAAAGGGCCACCAACGCCAGCTTGCTAGGGTCCAACTGTTTAATTTTATTTATTTATATATATATATATATATATTATTTTTTTTTTTTTTGCGCTGAGATTAAATTCATGCTTAAATATCTTGCTCTTCCAACCACTAAGAATTTTGTGGAGCGTCTGCAAGTAACTATTTGTGGTTTTGTTGTTCTTATGATATTAAGATTTATTATAAAAAAAAAGGGCAATGTCTCTTGAAGTAAAAAAAATAAGAACTGTTATACTATATATTAAGATATTCGCAAATTCTAGTATAAGAAAGTTTAATTATTAGACAGTTCGACCTGTTATACTTTTTTTTAAAAAACACAAAGATAAAAATGTAAATTTATAGTTTGAAATGTCATATTTTTATTTATAAAAAAATTAATATTATTTACCTTGAAATGTCATAACTTTTCTAAAGTATAATATTTTATTTTAAAAATATGCATAATTAAAAAATATGGCCGTCTGACGCGCCCATTTTCATGTAATATTCCATGGGAGATGCTACAGTCCCGTTATGGAACCATTCTGTCGTGTTTGTAACCGTTAGATCATCATTTAACCGTTGGAGATAGTTGATCTAACCAACCCGTCTTCCGTATTTCATTCACTAATTTTGGACCATGGATTAATATATCAAATTAAAATCTAACTAAAAAACCAACAGAACTACTACTGACAAACATGATTGGATTATCATTTTAATTTTTCTCATATTATATTTATGCAAAGGAATTACAATAACATTGTTTGGTGATGGATTTGAACAGGTACCAAATGGGATTGGCCTTGCATTAGGGACACTGCAGTTGGTACTCTACGCAATGTACACTAATTACAAACCATCAAAACTTCAAAAGGCTGATTTCGAGGACACAAGCCAAAATGAGCCACTGATTTCAGCTTCACAACAATGTTGAGATTAATTTGGGGGTGTTTTATTACTTTAATCTTTCATTAATTACCTATATATGTGTACTCATTAAAGGTGTACTTGTTAGAGGGCTTTTTTTTGTGGGATTATACTATTATCTCCTTGTGAAAAGTTGATTATCTCACGTGAGATTCACATGACTTATATGCATCACCAATCACTAGAGTGCTCGATTATTCACAAATTCTTGATTGATTCGGTTAGGAATGAGCAAAAATTGAGCCGAAACTGAATAGCCGAGTCAAATTGTGTAATTAGGATCAGTTTTTGGTTTTTGACTTTTTTTTCCTGCCGTGCGATTATAGACATTCACAAGTTCGGTTTTCAATTTTGTTCGGTTCGCAATTTTGCATTGGACCGCACCAAACTGAATAAAATGTATTGAAAAGTTGAGACAAAGTCAAAACCGAGAACTTAGTCGAACTGTGCATTTCTGTGCAGTGTGGTTCGGTTATTTTAGTGTAAAAAATAATTCTGTTCGATTTCAATTTGAGTCTAGGTTTGGTATTTTGCGGTTGTGTGCGGTCTTTCACCGAACTGCACCGTTACTCACCTCTCGATTCGGCCAGCACCGTTACTTTTACCTCTAAATTGATGTATTTTAAATGTTTTTATTTTGAATACTGACATTTCAATTTGAAAATTCACAATTTCTGTTTGAACAAATATAGTTTGCCTCGCTGTTAGACTGGTGAAAAGATATGGCTGTTTGGCCAATAATTTATTCATTGAAAAGCGACCCCAAGGACCACTACACAAGCATACAAAAGATCTTCATGTACGGGTTGCCGTGTGGGGCTCAAGTGTTTGTAAAGTGGGGAAAGATAGGAAAGCTGGAGACGTGTACTATATAAGTAAGTGTGCTAATCCTTATTTTTTAAAATATATATATAGCAAAAGGTTGATAAATGTTCATGAACTATGGATAAGAACTCCAGCGAGCTGTGGTTTAACAATGGCTGACTAACAAGTAACCATGGTTAAGTTGCTTGACTTCTAACAAGGTTCTTATAATACCGGTTCAAAAATCATGCTAAAATGTCCAAAACAACGGTAGTTAGAACTTAGAAGTAATTTACTTTAGCAGTCCAATCATAACTAGGCTGCTAGTGCTCGGCACGTAAAATAAACGAGCCAGAAATTGAGCTCGAGTTCGGCCCGTTTATCAATATTAACGAGCCGAACAGAGTCGGTCCAGGCTATTATTAGGCCCTGGGCCAAATATAGAATAATGCCCCATTGTTTCATGAAATCTACAACAAAATGATGGAATCTATATAATATCAATAATTATCCAACAAAATTTTTCCTATAAAATGAGGGAATTTATATTTGAAAAAGAAAATGTATAGACTCTCAAAGAAAAATAATCAGTTGTCGGCTGAATTCATTTCGGAGGCTCTTTTTTTTTTTAAAAAAAAAAATAAAGGTAATATGTGGGAGTATTAGTTCTAGAAAACAACAAACAACAATTAAATAAAAAATGGACAATATATATATATATATATATATATATATATATATATATTGATTATAGGCCCAACAATGATAGAAAAATATTAGATAACAACAATAAATTAAAATAAACCAAATATATAAGTACAAAGATCTCAAAATACCATAAAACAATAATCAAATCGAAAACATAAATAAAAAATATATGCATGTGCATAGGCTCAATAATTTCTTATACAATTATAATTAAATAAAAATTACATAAAAATTATGTGTATGAACTTAACAATTTCTCATACCATAGTAATATATTGTTCTTTTATATAATTTTTTTAATACAAAATTAAAAAAAAAAAAATCTATATTTTATAATAGCATGTAATTTATTTATTGATTCATGTAGAATATTATTTGAGTGGTTTTCTATCAAGTTGGCATTACAGTATTTTTTTAAGAAAAACAAAAAACAAAAAGAAAACAAAATAATGGCTTAATTACTATGAGTAATTTACACAATTTATGGAATTATGAGAGAGAAAAAAGAGCATTGTCTTGATTTGATATCACTTTCTATATAACTTGTAGTTAATTAATTAGATTTTATTCAATATAATTTCACGAAATTATAATTAGTTAGAATTTATTAAATGTAAGTGGCAATGAGTTTGAAAACTCATTTTTTTTTTTTTACCAAACATCAAATAGAATAAATAGAAAACTCATCAATATAAAAACGGCAAATAAACTGTACATGCACTTTTTCTTTATTGCAGTGTGGCCTTTTTTATTTTTAATGGTACATTAAATTAGTTTTTTTTTTAAAAAAAAAAAAAATATTGGGCTTTTCTTACATATTGCATACATATATGGTATAGATTAAGTTGGGCCTTGGTGCCCCTTTCTTCAGTTGGGCCCTGGGCTGTTGCCCATGTCGCCCTGGGCCAAGGCCGGGCCTAGAGCCGAACTATATAAAATTATATAAAAGTTCTCTTTTCGAATCTTAACGAGCTGAGCTCGAACAACAGTACGGTCTGTTAAGGCCTAGAGCTCGTTTTATTTAACAGGACTACTCATAACACTTCGAGATACATAATCGACTGCTAAAAAGTAAAAACTGACAATAACATGCCTACTTTTACAGTTTCCTTTTAACTCATTTTACCAAGTGCTTTTGCTGTATATATAAACAAGCAAAACAAAGAACAAGGGGAAAAAGAAGTTCATCAGGTCAGCTACATCTATATCCCATTCCAAAATGGTTGTCATTGCCTTGGAGTGTAGACAGATGTACAATATAATGTTACTTACAAAATATATATTTTTAACAAGCGATTATATGACAATCCGAAAAAAACTAAACAATTGTTCGAATTACTCAACCCCAACAGACCCTTAGTCAATCCTGTGGTTCCTCCTAAAACCTTTTTCATGTACAATTCATTGCCTATCATACGGTCCCAATTTTAGGAGGCTGCCATTACGAAAAAAAAAATATATATATATATACATATATATAAAACAAAGAACAAATAGGCACGGAGTTACCCTTTTTACCACCTAGAAGTACTTAAAGATGCGAAATGCACAAAAATGGGATAAATGTAATAAGGAAGCAGGAAAACACGATAAGTTGCAGAGAAAAAAAAAAAGTAGTATAAGGATATGATATGGAGGTATAATTTTACCTTTTTCAGAGGCGTTTTTGAACTGCTTGAGGCAGGTTTTAATATCTCAAAAGAGCACACTAATGATTCGTCAACACTCATAGGAGCACCAACATTATTGTCAAATT